CATCGTGATGCATCGAGGAATCGAAGACATGATAATCGTAATCGAAAGATCAGTGACAATTCACACCTCTACCTTGTTCTACATTTTTCTTATTGTCAACAACTCCACAAAAGGCCGTAACCAACATGTGTTAGTCTGTGTCTTTTTAGGAGGCTCAATAATGTCAAATTACTTTCTTTACAGCTGGACACTGACACAGTCAAACCTTACTCAAAGTAGTGTATTTTGTGTACACCAGGCTTTGAATACACGTAAATAAATAATCTTTTAATCTTACCATTTGGCTGTACTATTGCCTCCGGGCCCACTAGATGGCGCTCTGAGGAAACCACCAAAGTGGGCCTGCACGATACATCACTGTTAGTTTTGGTCCTTTAATGGAATTGTTTGTCAACAAGGAAAATATAGAAGAAGCTCGCAATTATCAGTCTTAGTTTGATGTTTGTGGTGCATGTAGATAACAGATAACAGATACTGGTGTCCACTCACTCTGTTGCTCTGGGACTGGACTCCAGTATTGATCGGGCAACAGTACACACACCGTTTGCTACAACAAGTGTAGCTCCTACGGTTTAAACCAGTAGTCATCTTATTTGACAACTGGGCTATATGTCGCAGCAACAACATTATTGATCAGTCTGACCAGAGGACCATCTTTGCTCTAAAGGTGTGTGTGTGTGTGTGGTGTGTGTGTGTGGTAGTGTGTGTGTGTGTGTGTACCTTGTTGTGCAGTACTGTGGCCAGTTGGCCCTCATTGCCCTGAAGCTCCTGGAGCAAGTCTGTGAGGGCGGAGCTCGACAACGACTGGATCACTGCAGAAACCGGCTCAACTAACCAGCACAGCACCTGAACAAGAGGGCGGGGACAAGGATGGTCACGGGTCTGTTCCATTGTGCAGTAGAAATTCTTATTAAATGGGAAACTGCAAAACATTGAATGTCCCTAAACAGTAAGAAACTGCTAACCTCTGCTAATACCATACAAAGTAGCTACACTTGTGGAATAAAACATGAACATGTGTTTACAACAGAAAAAAAGCAGAGCAGAGGCGTTTTTCCCCAGGAACTGCATATATTTCATGTATGTGGCTATAGTTTAGACTATTAAGTACCAATTAAATTGATCATAAGAGAAGGAGCATCAGGATACCACTTCTGCTTCACATTTACAGTTATGGAGGAAAAACATCCAGTCTCAGCAGAGGCAATAATGGTGTCCATTGCTTTCCATTTGTGCCTCTTTGCTCGTGGCTGTTCTCCCCAGAGGAGGATGTCAGAGGTAGAATTAACAGCTTAAAAGAAAAACACTACCTGACTAACACTTAATATAGAAATATGAAGCGCCAGGGCATAAGAATGTGACTGATAACACAAATAAAAAAAGAACGGACAGAAGAGCGCATTAAAACAGCTAAATCTAATCTATAATTAGTTAGACAGGTACAGGATGATATTTTAGGACTACTAAAAACAACTGCGACTAATGAATAAAAACATACACAAAGTAGGAATGTTTTTATGATTCAAATTCTATACACGTCTGGTATTTTTAGTAGTTGGTGCTGTCATTCTTGTTTTCACTGGAAGTTTGCTTTATCTTCAGGGCTGCAAATGCAACACTATTAGTATAGACAAGTGTTTCCACAACAACCAGGCTGTTTGTTTTACTGTCCATCAGCTGACCTGTCATACACACATTAATATTGATTAGAACTGATTAGATCTGCCCTGAATTAATTCCTACAAGTAACCAGTATCCCGTTCAGTTTCTCACGTTTATAACAAACCAAATTTCCTGAAAATGGGTTGAGAATTTAGCCATTTACAGTCGTTTTTGTAGTGAAGTCTGAATCTCTCAGTATTGCTAACTCGCAGATCTTGACCTCCGCAATATGGTGACCGAGCAGATGTATATCGGCAGCAGTCAGCAGCAGCCAATGGCAACACTACCTCTACCTCACCAGCAGATGTCAGTCATGCTCCATTTCCAGTACATGTTTATGTATTGTAAAGCCAAACACAGCTGCAGCTGCCGACGGTTCCTATACAGCAGGACTAAATGGATGTCTGTAGTTGGTTACCTGGTCCTGCTTGTCCTTCTTGGCCAGGGCGGGAAGGTTGCGGGCAATCGCCATGACAACGGCGGCGGCCTGGGGTGATGGCAGGAGGGGGAGGAGCCTGGAGATCAGCCGCTTGCCCTTCCTCACTGACATGATCATCACACACTGCTCATCGCTCACTCTTATAGAGAGGAAGAGAAAAAGAATGAGTGTGTGTGGATGGGCATATCTGCTCTCATTATCCCTTACACTGCTGTCCCATGTGTGGCCTTGTACAGAGTGTGAGTTGGATAAGAATAAGTAGTGGATTGCACCGAGTGAAAAATTGTTGGCTGATACTGATACCGATATTAATATTGTAGTTATGGCGATACCCGATATTTTACCGAATGTCGATATCTCTGTATTAGAAAACACATTTTTATGATAATGAAATAAAGAGCTATTTTCCAAAACGTTTTTTATTTTTTTATTTTGTGATTTATTTTCAGAAATGACTCATATTGGGCAACCTTTACCTGTGTGCAAAATATGATTTTCAGAAGAAAAAATTAAATTTTATATAAAAATATTTTTTATAAATATACAAAGTGGTCCTGAATTCACATATGAATAAGCCAAACCCTGAGTATTCTCAATAATACATCTAACTCCCCTTGAACCAAGTCACTGTATTCTGTGGAACATTGTACAACAGTTCAAAACTTTAAAGTACAGAGTTAAAATGGCCAAAGCCAAAAGTATTGAAAAAGGTCAAATGTGAAAATGGAGCCAGAACAAACTGGACTGAACAGACACTAGCGATATTATATCGGCGGCCGATATATCGTGCACCACTAAGAATAAGGATTGCCAAGTGCAGCTCTTGCAGTTAAGGTAATTCCCATTTAGCAGTTTAATCCAGCCCTCCGTCCTACCTGTCGTCCCACTCCTTCTCCCGCAGAGAGTTGCACAGCTGCACCGTGTTGGTTTTATGCTGCTCCAGCAGAGCCTCCCTGTCCTCCTCTGGCGTCTGGACAAAACGTTTCTCAAAGTCTTGAACCTCCAGCAGCAAACTGTACATCTGGAGGAAAGACATATGCATTTAGGATCCAGGAGTTTTTCCTGCTGTTTTTTCATTAAAAACGTGTGCTGCAGTCGTCCTAATCCTACCTTCTCCACGGTGTAGAGGATCTGTCGCCTCTTATTCCAAACCTGCTTCTCTCTTTTCTCCTGGAGATAGACAGACAGTCAGGAAAACCGACCAGCAGGACTTCAAAAACGGATCAGATTATAAAAACGGGTACAGAATGATATATTCAAGAGCAAAATAGGAATGTATGGGTTTTCATACTGCGTGACTGATCAACAGTGGATTCCAACTACAACATCTTTCACAAGAAGTATGTCTGGTCTCCAAACTACATTTCATCAGCAGTCATTACCACCATTAATAACAAGCACATTACGCTTCATTTAGAAAGCAGTTCAAAAACACAACAACCATTTACAGCATACTAACTTTAAAAAGTAAAATCAGCCTAATCAGCCAGTGTCTGTGATCAATACATACATTATTAAACCATTAATCAAACTAATAACTAACAGCAGTCAACGTCACATAACTTTATCATACTTAAACAGTTATCTAGTGTTTCTGCAGTGGTGATAAAACATGAAAATATATACATAGCAGCTAATCAACTAATGGCTCCCTGTACCAAACTCCCTTCTGATCGCGTTTTTAAACAGTTCACATACAGCAACTGTCCTCACAGGAGGGTCACCGACTTGCCTCTGAACTGGGGGAATTTGTCTACGATCTTGTCGCCGAGTGGAAAATCAGTGCTAAAATGCTAAAAACGACTTAATTGTTATGAACAATAACAATTGTTTACAGTACATACTGTAATAACAGTATGGCTCGCTCTTTTTTGGTTTTACATTGTCAAAAGGTGTGAGTGGTACCTGGTACATTTTGGGTACTTCACTGTGTTCACTGACTGGTTAGTTAATGTAAGCCTATTACTTTGTCTTTTAGGACACAACCACAGCTTTGCACATAAAGAGAACATTGTGTATACAGCTTTAGTAGGAAAAAAACAAGGAAACATGCAAACAGACCTCGTCATCCGTGCGACTTGTCACTACAGCATCAATCATCTTGCGTGGGTTGTTGACGCTGGAGACCGTCAGCTTACCCAGAGAGCCTGCAAACTGAACTGTTGACAAACACATTTCAACGTTTAATAGAGTAGTAGATAGATAGTCTACA